TGTTGAAGCTGGTGGGAAAAATGGTATTTTTCCATCTGATGCTACATCGAGGTTCGTTTCATCATACTCTTCTCAAATATTTTAATCAGTGATGGTTACCTTTCCATGTAAATAGGATATAAATTTTAATTTTTACTTTTATACAGGTGCTTTTGGAAAAAGAATGACTTGTTTTTGGGCATCCATTTTCAGAAAAGGCAGGAACTGAATCATTTGTGTTTAAAAAAGTTTATATTAGATTTTTCTGACTTTTGTGTGTTTTATTACATCTTTGTGCATGAGAGTTGTTTAGAATCACCTATTATTTATGTTTAAAAACCTTTCAATTTTATATTTGTTGGTTTTAAAATATAGATGCATGTTTTAAAAAATTTATGTGTTGAATATGTAATGATTTTTAATTTTTTCATGAATTTATAATTTTTTTCATAATGCCAAAATCTGTTGCTAATCTGTTAAAAAAATCTGTCAGTAATCCGTTACTAAGCTATTTCGAGATTCTGTCGGTAATCAGTTGGTAAATTATTCTGTCGGTAATCTGTTGGAAACATATTCCGTCTGTAATCTGTTGCAAAAATATTTCCGTCAGTGATCCGTTATTAGTTACCGACAGAAAAATCCGTCGGTAAAATTTTGTTGTAGCTGTCGGAATTCTGTTACAAACAGTTAGCGACAAGAATATACCGACGGATTTTGGTCTGTTATAATTCCGTCGGTAAAGAGTATTAGCGACGGATTACCGACGGTTTTGGCCGTCGGTAATGCTCTTTTTTGTAGTAGTGCAAATACAAACTTCATCATCTCGAACCTCTAATACACGAATTTCTTCGTCATTAACGTTTGGTATAATCAAGAGCAAACTTAAAAGTGAAAGGTGATCCGATTGGAAAAGTGTCATTGGTTTTAATACCCCCTCCTCTTCTACGAATATAACCTGGATACTCTCACTCTCACTAAAACGCACTTTCTCCTTCAACTTCAAACCAGCTTCAACAGCTAGCGAAACGATATCCCATCTGTCATATGGAGAGTCATCTCTATGCCTTATATGCACCTCGCCCCCTTCACTCAACATCTTGCTTGCATTTCTGAAGTAAGCTCCGACCAACTCCTTATGCTTTCTGTCGTCATATATACAACACAATCAATCATGCACAATGAGTACAAACATCAATTAATGCATGCATAGAGTAAATTAACATCTTACTGGATTAATTCTGTGTCACGTTCACGTAGATAACAAATATGACCAGCATGAGGGAAGTTGAAGATGATGATGTCCAACTTCATTCCCTTGAGAATGGGGTGAGTGTGCATTTTGTGGACATCGATTTGATACATCAATGCGCAGCCTAATCTCTCCAGTTCTTCAAGGTGTGATACACTCGTTTGATGGTTAATTACTAAGCAATCTATGAACATCAATATATGTGTAAGCTTTACGTTTAGTTAGTAAGTTATATTAATCCTTAATTAAAAATCTGTAAAGATGGATAATAGAGGTGACAAGATTAATGGAAAATGAGCTAGTCAAAACAGATAGTTCTGTTTAATTTCATAATAATCAAGAATACATTTTAAACCGGTTTATCCCATTTTCTTTTTAGCTATTTTATTCGTTTTACTTGCTAAATGTTAAATAATACAACTTCAGACAGCTAGCCTCAGCCCTCAATTGTATAGAATCTTCAAGATTACTCTAAGTCCCCTTTAGGCATGAAATTAGATGATCTTATCTTTAAGGTAATATTGCTTTTTTCTTTAGTTTTCTCTGCTTCAATTCGCTGCTTCTAATAGAATATTGTGTTTAAAATAAAATAAAAGTGTACATATACAAAACTAATACAATTTATCATTACGTGATGCATACGCCTACCTTTATCAAGATACGAAGTAGCAACCATGTTTTTAGCAGTGCCAAAGGCTCGAGCTAAACATGCGGAAAATGAGAAATCACCTTCACCCACAAGTAATATCTTCTGGGAACTGTTGTAGCAATCGATCCATCCTTCTTTTCTATCTGAATTGTTCATGTCTATTATACATGCACACGTACGTACGTACGAAGCGTTTCGGATAAGCTTATATATACTATACATGCTTGTATGTATAGTAAGTAGCAGTTAAAGTAAAGGGAGATGTAGCATTGTCAAATACTGTTCATCTTCCCAAAACAATAGTTACAGAATTAAGCATGCATCATAGTTACAGACGTTCAGATTTCATTGCTTTTAATAGGTGGTGAGTTATAGAATTTTCAAACGAAAGTTAAATTTTGTCATGAACAACAGTGACCAATATAGCGCTAGAGAACAGTTGAGCTTTTACAAGTTATTCTTGAATTTTGTCCGATCCGACATATATCTAACCAAATTCACTATAAGAAATAAGAGTTTTTACCTGCACATAAATTACCCATACATGCATTATTAAACCATCGTAAGGTTAAAGTTTGTTAAGCTCAAATATTCTGTCACCACTATGTAATATTGTTGGTAGGGCCATCACTTTTATATACATGAATAACGGTATGTCAATAACATCTTTGTATATAATATCATTAGAAGTTACGCACATTGTTTCTCAGGTATCAAGGTATTAAAAATGCACCTTCAGTTCTATTTTCAAAAATAAAATGACCATTTTATCCTTAACAAATTCTTTTTCAGTTTTATTTTTTGTTTATCAGATTAAAAAAGAATATATATATATATATATATATATATATATATATATATATATATATATATATATATTCAAATGAGATCATTTATTAATTTAAGAACAATTATGAACAATATTCGGCCACAAATTTTAAATGTTGAAAATTTAAAGATTTATTTATTTCTAAACAATTAAAAAATATCCTACCCCACCTACCCTCCCACCCCATCAATATACATGCTAGTATGTCGGTTTAATCTTCTCCAGACCATCAGTGAAACCACTGGAAAGTTGTCGGAACCGCCATATCGCCGCTGTATCATCGTCAGATCGCTTTTGGAAAGCTGGAAACACCGGAACCACTCGATAATCGTTTTTTCACTCTCCAGACCTATTACCTCCACCTTTGCTCCTCCCATCAACGGAAACAACCTCTCGTCGGAACCACCAGACAATCGCATTTTCACTCTCCAAATCTACAAAAGTTTGCTATCATCTGTTCACAGTGAATGAAGCACCACCAGACCAAATGATCGACTTCCATCATGACTTGTCTCGATCTCGTTTCACCAGATCTGAAGAAGGCCACAAGATCTAGTTCTGTCAGCCACCTCCGTCGCTGCCATAAAATTCATTGACGATGTTATAGGTTTAAGATCATACCCAAAATATGGAGTCATCGTTGTTTCACCATCCACCAGATTTGGTTTCACCGTTCAGCATCGCCGACTTCATTCTCACACACTCTCAATTAGGCTTCATGGTTCTCAGCTTCACATTCGGCTGCCTCAACAAGCTGATAAACTCAATATCAACCAAAATCTGGTGGTGGTTTCTCCGAAAAAATTCGTGCATAAGAGAATCCAGGTTGTGAAGGTGTACATGGCTCAGAGGTTCGATGTGTTGGAGATGGAGAAGAAGAAGAATCGATGGAGGTTGAGTTTAGACAAGTTTTTTTTTCTCGATTTCTTATGTATTTTTATTGAAAGGTAGTATCACAACTCATAATTGTTTTTACAAAATGTTTTTTGGATATATTTTTTTTGTAACATCCGATTTCGAGAAATTTCTTAATTCATGATTGTGGACAATAAATAGATCAAGTAAAGGCTTTGGGCTTCAAGGGAATAGGTTTTAGACCCTATTGGATGTTGATAATATTCGTTATGCGATCCAAGCCCTTGGTTTGTGTTGGAGTCAAAGGGTAAAACGGGAAAAGTGATGTTTCAGACTTTTTGCATGAAATATGGATTTTTGTTCGAGAAGTTTTTAGTCCAAGATATATATATATATATATATATATATATATATATATATATATATATATATAATATTGTGGGGCTCTTCAATATCTTTCTGTGGATATAAAGATTGTCGAAATCAGAGTTGAAACAAAGAAGTTATGACAGTTTGAAGTTACGTCGATTTTTGGGTTAGTCGCGTACGTTGGGCGTACTAGGGCATCCCTAGTACGCTGGGCGTACCAGAAGTATGTTGGTCATACATGATCAATTCCCAAACCCTTTTTTCGTGGTTTGACCCGTATTTAAGCTCCTTAACTTCCCCAAACCTATTCCATTCTCAGCCTCCACCTCTCCAACACCCTCTCTTGAAACCCTAACCATAGTTTGAGCCTTGTGAGAAAAAATAAGGTGTTTTTAAGTGATTTGGAGTGTTCTTGGTGCACCTTGGAGAAAAAGGAACTCATTGAAGAAGTGTTTGTTGCATTGGAGTTTGTAGATCCAGACTTTGATCACCTTGATCTTTCTTCTAGAGGTATAAAGCTTGAATCTTGTGGATGTATTTGTTAGATCTAGCTAGTGTTGAATGTTATGAGCTTTTGGTCATTTTAGTGCATAAGTTTAGATCTTGGAAGTTTGTGACCTTATTATGGATAAAGTTGAAAACTTTATCCATCTAAACATCATTTTGATTCAAATCTGAAGGTTGGAGACTTGGACTTAATGGATTTAGTTGATAAAGATGTACTTTTGGGCCCCTTTGAGACTTAAAGACTAGATCTTGGTTGTTTGGACCATTCAAATGGATAAAGTTAGAAACTCTATCCATTATGGATTTATTAGGAAGCATAAAAATGTAATCTTGGTCCCTTTTTCCCTTCCATGCAAATGTTAGAGAGCTTAAGAGCTAAAGACAAGTTAGGATTTTTGGTGTTGGGCATTATCTAAGCATGAAAACTCATAAATATGGAAACTTTATGGTTTGGAATGATATTTGGCGGCTAGATCTGCAATTGGACGAAAGGACTTCATGAAATAAGCAATTAATAGCGAATTGACTTTTGGCATAGTATGTTGGGCGTACTCCCTTGGAAGCTCGATCTGGACCTTGAGTACGCTAAGTGTACATGATGAGTACGCTGGGCGTACACAACATGAGTCAACTCAGTTGACTTTGTTGATTTTTAACTTTGACCAGTTGACTTTTGGTCAACCTTGGTAGCATGGAGTATTTAACTAAGTTATGGTATCGGTTTGGCTTTAGGAAGCTTAGGTTGGCTAATCTGTTGATGAGGTAGCTGTGAGCTTCTTTTGAGTGGTTTATAGGGATGAAATTTAGAACCGGACCGGTTCGGAACCGGAACCGGTTTTCCTATATTATAAGAACCGAGAACCGTACCGCTGGTTCTAGCGCCGGTTCCGGTTCCGGTCCCGGTTTTCCGGTTATTTTTCTAATTAGAACCGGTTGAAATGTTGTAGACGATATGTTATCTTTCGGAGCTTGTAAATAATTCAATATTTAACCAAATTATGACTTTTTACACTCTAAATTGAAGTACAAACTCTAAATTACATGATGAAAAAAGAATCAAGTAATTCCGACTTCATATGAGTGAGTTATGCACATTTTAAAAGTGGGACAGATTCCAAAAAAAATGCTAAAACAAAAAATACGCAACATTGATATGCTGTCTTCCGAAGACTATAGCGAATTCAATATCTAACCAAAATATGTGTTTGTACAGTCTAAAATGAAGTACAAACACCAAATTACATGTTGAAAAAAAAATAAAGTAATTCCGACGTCATATGAATGAGTTATGCACATTTATAAAACGGAACAAATTCAAAAAAAAAAACAAAAAGTGCTGAAATAGAAAAAACGCAGCATCAATATTTTTTCTTCTGGGGAATTTGTCTGATTCAATATCTAACCAAAATACATGTTTGTAGAGTCAAAAATGAATTACAAACTCCAAATTACATGTTGGAAAAAAAATCAACTAAATCCGACTTCATATGAGTGAGTTATGCGCATTTTATAAAACGAAAAAATGTCAAATCGGGACCGGTTTTCATAAAAATGGAGAACCGGTAACCGGACCTTGTTACCAATTTTGGTTTCGGTTCTGGTCCGGTTCCGGTTCCAGCTGTTATAATGCTCATCCCTAGTGGTTTACGTGAGTTTTCTCACTATATCCATGGGTCGAAGGCACCAATGCCGAACCATTACTTGCTACGTGGAAGGCTAGTTGTCTCTATGATGCTTGCATGAAAGACCAGGGTCTGGCCCGTGGCAATTGAATGAAAGACCAGGATCTGGCCCTTGGAAATTGTATGAAAGACCAATATCTGCCCCCTGGAAATTGTATGAAAGACTAGGATCTGTCCCTTAGCACTTGTATGTAAGACCGGGATGTGTCCCTCGACATTGGAAGTGTAACGTCCCATTTTCACAACCAAAATTTTTCATTTTTATTAAGGTAAAACTTCCCAATTTATAAATCCATTATCAAGAAAACCATTTATTCCAAATTACATTTATTAAAATCAGAGTATCATAGAAAATGTGAAATCCTCAATGTTGCAGATGAGTGTGTACAATACCGTCTTCGCCTTCCCATAGCCATCGGTGATACCTAAAACAATAAACAACTGGGTAAGCATAAAGTTTAGTGTGTTTCCCCCAAAATATCCCATACCATAAACATACAAGCATGCATAACGACCCATAACCTCCTGGTTGGAATGCCCATGCCTAATTAATCCTTGGACTGGAATGCTAACATGCAACGAGTCCAATCAACCATCAGGCTGGAATACCCAGGGTTTTTTGGCCTATCGCCTCATCCCAACCGCTCTTCCCGTGCCTCCGTGCCTACAACTTACAGCCGACCCGCACCAGGTATCTTGGCCTATAGCACATAGTAGGACCGCCTCAACCCACTACTACCATATGTCGACATATAAACAAACAAAGAACAAGTAGGCACATAATACAGACAAACGGCAATCATACAGCTCACCACCGCCTACTAGTCCTCTCATAGCACACAATCCTGCTACCAGCTAACCTCTATGAACTATGTAATCATAAGTACCTAGAGGTTAGATAGCCACTCGAACAG